TATCTGGATCCATCACTTTTTGTTCAATATGAAGAAATTGCACTTTTTTTAATTTAAATTAGCAGGTAATTATCATTTTAAAATAATAATATTATAAAATATAATTTTTCTTTTTTCTTTTTAATTAAATCCAATATTAAATTCAGATTTAACAACAACATATTTATTTGTATTGGAAAATCATATTTGTCATTCATTATCTTTTATCTTCAATTTCTTCACTTTTTTCATTTTCTTTTTCATCTATAATTTCTTTACTTTCTTCATTTTCTTGTTTCAAAACAGAAGTCAAAGTAGAAGAACCACACCAACAAATTCAACAACACCAAATTATTATCATCTTCGTCATCCAGTAACACTAGATTCTTTCTACTAAAAAATTGTTTATTTTGAGAATGATTCAAATATAAAATTGTTATTTGATGTTTATAGATATGAGTTTTTAAATCCGTGTTTTTTTAAATATGAGCTATACTAAGATCTATAAACATCAAATAACAATTTTAGATCTGAGATGAACAAGTATTGAATTCAATGATTGTAGCACGACAAGGCAAGTCAAACAACCTCTGAGATTAATTTCTTTTTTTCTTTTAGATTTATTGAACATGTTTATTTTAGACTCTATTTGGAATAATTTTTTTAGATTTGGTCGACAAGTTTTGAGATTTTATGTTGTTTTTTTTGGTGGTGATCTAGATTTAGGAATTTTGTGGTGGCTCTAAATTTTTTTTCTAGATTTTGTGGTGGCTATTTGATTTCTATTAGTGATGGCACAATTCTTGTGTATTTCAATACTTTTGGCATAATAGAAACTTTTCTTCTTGTTCGAATTTTGAGATGACTCCGTAATTTTTTTCAAAATTGTTTTTGTAATATTTTGTTTTAATATTTTTTTGTAAGTATTAATTATCGGGTGATATTTAGGTTATATCGTATCGTCTTTATAGGAATCAGTGCTACTTAAGTGTTGTTCGATAATCTCTCGCGTTTATGATTTTGGGTTAAAATGAGTTGGTTTGTAAGGAAAGATAAAAAGTATTAACAGAAAATAAATTCATTCTTCAAAGGGGAAACTTATCAGGAATGCATATAATTCATTTCTCACAAACTTAAACCTATCGACCAGTTATACTCAACTTACAATACTCATTAATATCATCATGTGTCAAACACAACACCCACTATATCACATTGGTGGCGATCTCTCAACCAACCTTAATAACAGAGAAGTCAACCGTGCTAATCGCGTTGACGGTCTCTCAGAACGACACAACCAACACAGAGGCATTAATCACAGACACTCAAGTGAATAATAGCACTAAATCTATCTCTATAATCTAGACACTATTAGACAATCATCCTAGATAAGAATTCGAGCAGTATATGTCTATAGCAACCCAAACCCAAAATACAGTAAAAATCTAGGACAATAATCGACAAAGATTTATAAAGTAAATTAAATATAACGTCATGGGCGAAAAATATACACGAGTTCAAAGAAAATACATATACACAACCCAACAAATAAAGAATACACAAAGAAGAAGAGAAATAAAGCACAAATATCCTAGTTTGTCAGCACTGATCGAAGAGCAATCCACCCCAGATCAGCCGTATGCAAGCTTCATAGTTGTTTTCTAAGCTAACCCTAAGGAAAAATGAGGGTTGATGAATTTGGGAGCTAAAATTATCCCCAAACCCATATCCATAACAAATGAAATGAAAATGAAATATAAACAAAATTATGTTTCGCACGCATCGCCCGACGCTGAATTGCGTCGCCCGGTGATGGCCTTATTACACTTGGCCCAGGTTGCGCCATGCAAGAATCTGGGGAAAATATCTTCCATCGCTTGCCGAAGGAAAGCTTTGCGGCGACTCCTTTATTACTCGACCGATGATATAGCAGCGAAGCAAGGCAGAGGCAACTGGAAAATAATCAATACTTCTCGCTCCACGCTCGCCCGACGACGAAGAAGCGCAAGCCCGTTGCCCGACGCCCAAACACGTCGTCCGACGACACACACCAGAACATCAACTTTTGTTGCTTTCTCTGCAGAACTTGCAATAGCTTTTCTTCTTTTGCCTTATTTCTTTAATGATAAAATACCTACAAAATAGATACAAAACTATCAAATGACACACTATGTACACAAAAACACAAATATATACAAACTAAACGAATTTATCAACAAAGAGGGGAATTATTCACAAAGTATTAACAAAAGCATTAATAAGTGCAATAAAATCATGTAAAAAAATAACTATAATTTGCACTTATCAGTGAGTTTAGGGATTTTGTTTTGAGTTATTGGAAATTTTTTTGTGGATTTAAGAATTTTTTCCAGATTTAGAAAATAAGATTCAAATCTGAGTTCTTAAAATCTAATTTAGTGATTTCAATCATTGATATGAGCTTGAAATATGCATTTGATAATTTCTTGTGTTATTTAGTGGAATTTAGATGAAGAAGATGAATGTTTTTGAAGATGAACAAGATGAAGAAAATGTGTTTGAATATGAAGAAGATGAATAAGATGAATAAAATGATGATGAAGGATATAAAATGAGAATTAATTATTTAGATTAATTAAAAATATATTATTTGATATAAAAAATATTAAATAATTAATAATTAAAACTGGATAAAAAATTATTAATAAGTAATCAGTCATTCATCATAGGCGTCCGAATTAAATAATAATATATCAATGACTAAAAATGTAACTTCTCCATGATGACCAAAAATCGTCTGGGCCAAGGTAAATGTCACCCTATATTTATCTATCTTCAATAACTCTAATATTTCATACTACATATAAGAACTGAATAATTTCCAAGTATTAACAACTTATACTAAATATTTTATTTCATAATGTGGTCGATAAAAACTTTTTTTTTGACAAAGTAAATCACGATTTATTACGAGGTTGTTTTTATAAGTTATTGTGTTTCTCTTACTTTTTGCACTTTTACAAATATAACTCATTCCAATCTTATAAATAAGAAAAATTATTTATTTATTAATAAATTAAATAACCAATGTATTTAAATTAGGGGTGGAAAACATGCATGTATGTTTCGTTAAATTCCACTCCACAAAAATCCGCTAAAAATGGAGCAGGTTGGACGAGAATAGTTGATGAGGCGGACATAAAACCTTGATTTGCACCACACAAAAATGAGGACAGGCCTGTGGACACTACCCTTTTTAAGCTAAAAATGTAAAAAATTATGTTAATGCCTACGCCCGTAAAAGCACACATTAAAAAATGGGGCGAGGGTAGGGCGGGCACATTAGAGGGCGTAAATCTAAACTCTTGGCCCATCATGTTCTAAAGTGTGGGAAAACGGGCATACCTGTCATACCCCTAATTTGGCCCATCATTTTACTTTTATTTGACTTAGGTTTTACATTCCTTTGCATACTTCTCCATTTAGGTCATCTAACACATCTGTCGTAACCGGAAAAAATAACGAGTCACCACTATTAATTTATATCCTAAGCACAGAGAAATAATGGATAACTCTAATTGTTAGAGATTTTAAGTTCGTGAGTTGTTTAGACGAAGGGAAGGTGTTAGGCACCCTTCGTCTCCCTTATTCTCAAGGGGCATCCTTTTTTAGGTTTTAGGGTAAATAGAAAATTTCTATTTAAAGGCATGTTATTGTTAATTTATTTGAGAAAATGTTTAATTTTTTAGTTGAGGGACTCACCTTGGTTTTAACCGCGCGTCTACGTGTCCTCTTGCAAATAATTAGAGTCCAAATTCGTAGTTCTTATGTTTGGTTAGTGTTTTTTTATAGGATTGCGTATAATTGCTTTCGAATTATCCTTGAACCTTATCTGGGTTTGAAAAAGAGTGATCGTAGATGCAGTTTGTAGTTAAGTATGAAAGTGATACTATTTAATCATTTTTTCGATAATAATCTTAGATTTTTATTGTGTTAGTGAAAAAATAATTTAGATTGGTTAGCTATTTTAATATTTTTATTCGATGGATGGAAGAAAGGTCGATCTTCATTGAAATTAGTTTGTGCTAGGAGAAAAATTTATTTGGTTTGTTGATTAGTTAATTTTGATTATTTTATTTGAATAATTAATTAGTGAGCATTAAGCCGACCAATTAATTACTCGAGGATATTAAATCCTATTATTTGTGAAAATATTGAATTAATTTAATTGTGAAAATTACTCAAATATGCATAAACTAATTTTATCTAAAACTAAAGATATATTTTTGTACTTTTGTATTAATATTGTTTTTGGTTAGTTTGAATGATAATTAGAGGGAAAAAACTAAACTTTAAAATGAATTAAATAAATTAGTAAAATACATAAACTAAATAAACAAAAGAATAAATAAGAGTCTAGAGGGGTGTAAGTTAGAAAATGAGAGACATGCATAACTGATGGGCCCAAATCATAATAATCAAAAAGTCCAAAATGAATCCCTAATATTTCTAATAACTATGAAATCAATAAAAGTAAAAGAAAATAAATAATAGTGACTATACGAAAGTAAAGTCGAACTTGCACCATTCCTATCAATTTTCTTATTTCTCTCAACTTGTGACCTCTCTCATATTAACTTGAATGATAAAAATAAAAAAGATATAGATGTACAAGGGCACTCTTGATTATTATTATTAATTATTTCCTTTTATTTTATAATGAAAATAATTAAGAAACTATGTGATTCTAGTGATTTTTTCACCATTACTCATGACCAACAGAATGCTGACAAGTGGCAAAGATTAAGATTAAATAAAAACTAAAAATAAGCCACAATAATAGCACATCAATATATATATATATATATATATATATATATATATATATATATATATATATATAGAGAAATGTTAACTTCCTCTTTTCCTTTGTATTATTCTTTCTTCCATCTCAAATACAAACAAAACAACACAAAACAACACAAAACAACACGAAATCAAGAACAAAATGAACAGAAAAGCGATACCTACAATGGTTCTGGATGAGGGGTCGGAAGGGATGCCAACTGCTTGCTCGGAGTTGCTGCAGATTCGTCAGAGGTATTGACCGTGAATCTGGTATGATCGGAAGCATGCTGAGTGAGTTGTGCGACTGGAAAGCAGCAGTTTTGGCTTGCAGTGGTGCGATTGTTTCGAGATCTGATTTGTGGAGTCCCTCTTTTTCTTCTTCTAACTTTTGCTTTGATGTTTTTGAAATCAAGTTGTTGTGGTGGTTGTTCATGAATATTGATTGGCTTTTGTTTTCTGCATATTTTCCAGACCTATCTCCTTCTACGTATTTGCTTTTTCTTTTATATTGTTTTGGGGATGATGTTGTTTGAAGTGTCTGGAACTGTTAGAGCTTGTGTATGATCTTGGGTTAGTTTGCATATACAGGTTATTGGAGATTTTGAACAAAGGGATTATATGTGAGTGTTTGATAAATATTTTGAAAAAAAGGGATTGTATGGTAAGTAGTAGTGTGTACAAATTTGTTTATAATTGTGGTGGTTCATGAGAACTTGCAGTGGGTGGTGTTTTGATGATAGAATATTAGAAGTATGTATGCAATGGATGAGTTTTTTCTGCACGTAAAGAGAGGCTTTGTTAGCTTTTTCGATTGACTGCAAGTATAGGGTTTGAATTGGATAGGTTTTATGTACGTGGAAGAGAAATATGTGTTAGTAGAAAATTTTGAGAAATGTGCATTGTGAGTTGATAGCGGTGACAAGTTATGAAAAAAAATTGTGACAAAAATGTTAGAAATATGAGTATGTACCATGTGATTGTAAATAGTGTAGAAAAAAATGGGCCTCCTCTATGTAAAAATTATGCATCTATTTATAGTATAAGGAGTTAGGTTAAAAAAAAATAAAAAGAGAAATAATTGATGTTAATAATAATTGATTAAAATAATCAAAACCATAAAACAAAGTAAATTTGATTTTTTGATTTAGGTCCATTTCGATCAATCTTATTATTCTAAAATTAAGAAAAAAACATCCTAAAAATAAAGAGTAAAATCTTTTTAAATATTTTTTATTGTATTATGATATTTTGTGTATTTGATACATAAAATCAATAAAATCATGATTTTAAGGAAAATAATGATATTTTAAAAAATGACTAAATAAAAATATGAAAATTAATATTAAATAATTAAAAAAATGCAATTTTGACTTTTTGTAATTTTTTTCCAATAAAGAAATAAAAAATAAACTAAAGTTAGTAAAATAGAAAAAAAAATGTTAAAAGTGAGATTCAAATCTCCGACCTTACACTTGCAAGCCTTATCTCCTTACCAATTGTACTGTCTCGTTTATTTGAAATAAGAAAGCCACTTGAAAGCATATGAACAGTGAAAATATTTGTTATTTAAAAATACAAATAATTTAAAGTAAACTATTATATATTTTTAAATAATCAGAATTAGTTAATGTTAAAATGTTAGTAAAATAAACCAAATAAATTTTATAAAACCCAAATTTGAAAATATTTTTGACTGTAGAAATAGGGTGGACAAATTTGGGTTATGACAATATTATGCATCAATAATCAATAAACTTGGTATTTGGGATCAATGACCTTTGAAATTAGGGTTTTCTCTTAACTCAAAGATATCAGGCAATGTGATACCCAAACATCTTCATTTCTCAAGCTTTCTTAAATATCAGAGGTTCACCAACTCCTCAAGATATTCATCAAGGTTGTCTCAAGGATCATGCACATTAAGCTATAGACTTTGCTCCAATTGAATGTACTCTGGCTAGGGTTTGGTATATTCTCCACATCATCAAGTTTTTCTCGTCACCAAAAGCATTGGATTGAGGTTATTTGCAAGGCAAGTTGGTTATTGGAGGATTCTCAAGTTATTTTAAGTGGATTGCAAGTCATTTGGTTCAAAATAAAAAGTCAACAGAAAAGTTAAATAGTCAAAGGTTGACCAAAAGGACATTTTGGTCAAAATTGAGGTTCAAAGTTCAATTAATGAGTAAACATGGCTATTGATTGAGTTTGATCCATTGAAATCATTAAAACCAAATTTACTTGTGATAGAAGCAATCTTGAATATTTAGAGATTTTTTTCTAAGTATGGAAATGAATGGACATTTGGGTGATTTATGTATCTTTCTCATATGATCATTAACTTTTGCAACCAAAGTATTAATTGAAATATCTCACTTCACACTATATATTTGCAAAAGGAATGAATTTAAAAGGTGCATTGGATTGGAAGATACAAGCTATGGAAGTTGGCACCTCAAGTTGGTTAATGGTTAGACACTTAGAATTTTTTTAAATGTTTAGATCATGTTTTGAGGACAAGAATTCAAAGGGCAAATTACATGGTGATTCAAGCATTTTTTTCAAGAGACCTCCAACACTAAAATTGTTCATCTTCATGCTACCTTTCCATTGACATTAAAAGTTCTTCATTAATTTGGGTCACTATACACCAAGACAGAAGCTCAAGGAGTAAAGGTTTCCAAAATATCAAATTGACAAATGACTTAGAGATATTTTGAGTCTGGACTCAGTTTCGTTGGCATGTGTTCTAGGGCCATTTCAATGTCAATTAAAGCATCTAATGGCCTTGATCTCAACAACAATGTTGTCCACTTCCATGTTCTCTTTGATTTAGCACCATTTTTGTATCAATTGAACCAACCCACGTCAATATATAGCTATTTAAAACCAACTGCATGAAATTTGTTCCATCAATAGATTAGTATTGACAGTTGTCCAAAAGAACATTATGTGTGGTTGTGTAATGTCACCATCAGGTTGCTGCTTATGCACCATCCTCTCATTGATCCATTTAAGCCAACATTACCTTTCCATGCATGATGTACATCATCTCATGCACTAAGAATAGAAGATTCCTTTGTGAAAAAAGGCTCAGGCACCAAGGTTGAATCCTACAAGCCAGCTCATGCTCTTACTACAAATTCCCAACTTCATTTTACATGTTTGAGAGCACACAAAAGAGAGGCTTGAGCTCACATTCTTCACTTCTTTGTAATAAACACTTAAACAACTCCAACCAACTTTAATCAAGATTCACTATTTCTAATCCTCCACTAATCAACTCCTAATCATTCATATAAAAGCTTTTTCACCCTCTAATAGAAATCAGTTACAACCACCACCATTTTCTCATCTTTCTCAGATCTACTTTCTCTATCTCTGACTCTCTCAACTTCTCACCATCATATCTCCCTCATTCTTCAACCATTTTCTGAAATCTCTTCATCATCATCACCACAACAGGCCATAGACTCAACTGTTTGCATCAAGATCCATCTGAAATGGTTAACACAGTTGATAAAGCTCCATTATCTTCTTCCATCGTGTGAACTCGATTGGAGATTTTGACCAATATTTGAAGCATTTGAAGCTCACAAGCTTCATCAGTGAGTTTTAGAAGAGTGAATAGTAGATTTTTCTTTGGTTGAAGAGCATAAAGAATGCAACAGACGTTATCTCCATTTTGGTAACTTTCTTGAACCATTTTTATCATCTTTTCAGCTTCATTCTAGGTCCTCAATACATGTTATAAGCATATAGTTTAGCTGCATTTGAAGTCCTATTCATATAGGTGATGCTTTTGCATAGCTAGGGTGCATATGTGTGCTTTTCCGTTTTGATAGTGTTTCGGTGATGAACTATTTTCATGATGTTGGAGTTAGTTTCAATGAAAATGAAGGTTGTATTTGAATTCTATGAGGAAAACCGAGTGGGGCGATGTCTTTCCTTGTTATTTTCGTTCATAGTAGTTACAGGAACCACCATCCATGGTGGATGTTTGCCGGAAGGGATGGTGGCTAGGGCTAGCCTCAGGCGCCATTTTATTTTTTCAATTTAAATGAGGTGCCAACATGTAACTGGTCCAAGCATTAAATTCTTATTTTCAAATTTTTTTAATTGTTTAATAAAACAAATATAAAAATGTTAAGATTTTGTTTGGACTCCAAAACGTATTGGGCTTAACATGTTTTCTTTTCGCACCCCTGGGATCCAACCCAATAACGTATTAACCTAGGTTTTAGTTCATCCCGCTTCTTACAATTGACACCCCCTTGTAGTCTCATCCACATTTTTTTATTTCTTTTCCAATTAGCTTTGGTTTATAATTGTCTTTGCATATAAAAAATCCATAAAAATGTGTTTTACATATTTTAGAGTCTTAGGTTTTTTTAGGTATTTTTATCTTGTTTTTTCATCTAATTTTTGGATTTAATAAAAGGCTTTTTGTTAGGGATATGTTGTGAACTTGGTGCTCTACTTGTTAACTTGATTTGATGACTTATGGGAATCTTTTTGAGATGATTTTGTGGCATTGTTTATACCTCCAATTGATGAATGAATACATGCTAAATTGGTGCCTAATTGGTAATTGTTTGATTTTATGATAAGTGGTTTTAATGAGACTTGGTACATGCTTAGGGTATGGTTGATTAGGGATCATTAGAGACTTCTATGTGCATATTTTGACCATTTCATTTGGTGCTATGTTTCGTACTTGAATGCCTGCTCTTCATAAGTAAAAGTTATTTGAGAATGTGGATTTAATTGATGTTTTGGTTAGGTATTATTTTGAACCTTGGACAAGGATAGATGTTGATACTTTAGGGATTAATATCTTGTGATGATGCTTTCTCCTATATTCTTGCATGCCAATCATTGGTCATTGTTTAGACACTTGAATGATGATGTGTTTTATATGAAGTGGTACCAAGTTTATGAAGCATAGTAGGTCTTTTGGAATTGGATGTTCTTAAGTCTCAATGCATGCTAAGTAATGATGTATACTTGTATCGATGAATAGTTGTGGAAGTGCACTTTTCAATCATTTTAGGGAGATTTCTCCATATATACCATGAGTGTTTTTTATGCTTTAATGTCTCAATTTCATGAGTACTTTATCTTCTATGTGCCATGAGTATGTGGATCTTCTTGATAAAGCATTTGGTTGATGATTGATGTTTGTTAACCTAATCTTTGAGCATGCTTTGTGTGAAACCCCTTTGTGCTTTTGAATCTTGTTCAATATGAAAGCTTTGTCCAAAGTTTCTTCCCTCATCATGATAATAGGCCCTAATCTCTTATCATTTGAGTCATTTAAGTGCCATGTTATTGATGAGCTAGTTTGATGATGCATCTAGTTGTTGATTTATTAGTTGTTGACTTAAGCCATGATTTTCTTTGTGAACTCCTCAATACTTTGAAGCATGTTTAAGGTGAGTACTTTGAGTTATATTTTTTGACCTACCTTGGTTTTACCTTGCATAATTTGGATTGTCTATTGTGTGTTAAGTTGTGATATATGATTGCTACCTAA